GGGTTTCGGCGGCGGGCCGCCTGATCCTCCCTCCAGGCGCTCGGCCCCCGCCCCAGCGTCCGTCCCAGTGCGGGGTAGAGTGGATGAACCGCCTGCCCCGTCACAGTAGGTAAGATGGTTAAAAGCTCATAAGTGCTAGTTATCCCATCGCGCTGTAATTTAACACATGGCTATTACATATACGTAGCATATACAACTACAATAATAATTAAAGAGTTTTACCATCCTCCAAGTCATATAAAAATAATTCAAGACGCGTCCGTCCCAGTGCGGGGTAGAGTGGATGAACCGCCTGCCCCGTCACAGTAGGTAAGATGGTTAAAAGCTCATAAGTGCTAGTTATCCCATCGCGCTGTAATTTAACACATGGCTATTACATATACGTAGCATATACAACTACAATAATAATTAAAGAGTTTTACCATCCTCCAAGTCATATAAAAATAATTCAAGACACTTCAGAGACTCCCAAAATTTTCAATGAGCTTTGGATCAAGACAAAGTAGTTCATTAGTTTGCTTTAAATCAGCCTAAATGTGATTTACCATGATCCAAATGATCCTTACCATGGGGTAGGATTTTATTGTGAATCCAAATTTTGCAGCTGGAATTTATTTTTATGATCACCCTCGTTATCCCAGCATGTCACAATCTCTAATTTAGATTCACCATTCCCTGGTGAGGCTGGAAAATGCTATTATCCCTATTTTACAGATAAGGAACTAAAGCAGAGAGAAACTAAGGGCACATCTACACTACATAGAAGACCAATCTTCTGGGGTTCGTTTTAGTGGATGTAGTATAGACTCATTAGATCACCGTCAGCACCAATACTCCTCATCAAAGAGTAAAGGAAGTTGACGGGAGTGTTTGCATGAACAGGGATTTAAGATATGTTGACTCCAGCTACATACTTTATATAGCTGAAGTCGTGTATCTTACTTTGACCTTCCTACGTAGTGTAGAACAGGCCTAAGTGACTTGCTGAAGGTACCCCAGGAAGTGGATGGCAGAGCAGGGAATCCTGATTCTCTTGGGGGTGAGCCCTGAAACTCATCATGTACATGTTTAGGAGCATGATCCAGGTTTTTAATGCAAAGTTACAATTTTAGTGACCATGTCCTGCTACCTAAAACTTTCATTCTTGCTTCATGAAGAGAGAAAAATGGTTAAAAGTGTATGAGTGGTTTAATGGTTCACATGTTGTTCACCTTGGTTTTTTGAACAAGCAATGCAAATGTCTATAGAAATAGATGTTTGGAGGTAAAAGGACAGTGACAAATTCAGTATTATATATTGAATTCAGTGTTTTATATCTCCATCAATCTTAACATTTCCTGTAGCACTCATCACTATAGTTTCTAATTCTTCTACGAGAAAAAAAGGTCTCTTTTGCAATGTGCAAAATGAAGACTTTTATATTTCCCAAGTCCTGGCCTAGACCATCCT